GTTTTTGTTCTGACACCAGGGTTGTTTATTTTACCAGGAAGCCGTGCGTGAGTTTGCTTATGGACAACAGTACGCCTGGATGTTAGTTATCTTTACTCTAATGGTTGTTTTCTGCCTCACCTGTCCTCTTGTCACGCCATTTGGTAAGTCACGCAAAACATTTTCGTCACGTTTGAAAACATTTATAATGGCTGCACTACATACAGCCTGCGAGCACGAGCGGCGAAACCCATGAACGAAGCGAGCGAGTGAGAGCCTCTGTTGAGCCAGACCACTTACAGAGCTTATAGAAATAAGAACTATAGGGGTCAAAACTATAGATTAGTCATCCTTCTGAGGATGCAGTTGAAAATGTGTTGTCCTGCTCCTTCCGTTTCCAGCGAATTCACTCAGCACACAGTCTAGAAGAGAACGATTCTTCAATCACGATTGTGAAACATCTCGAGGCGTAATTGTATCAATTTCCAGTAAAGCCTCTTTACAGTGTTTTACTCTGATTTTAGCCATGACCAAACTTATGAATCTAACTGCTCGCCACAATATTATTTTTTTAACCAGTGTTTTCATTATTTATTCACAGGTTTACTTTACTTGGCCATGAAGCATTTAGTCGATCGATACAATCTTTACTTCAACTATCGCCCTCCTGCTTATAACTACGTGGACAGCAATGTACATCAAACTGCTGTGACGTTCGCCGTCATTTCAACTTTCTTTCTGCTGCTATCACTATTATTTTACTCCTCTATCAGGCTAGGTAAGTACGACACGTCAGTCTAATGTCTGCCTTATCAGAGCAATTTTCAAATGAGTGTCGAAAGTGATCCGGTATTGCGATATTTTTCACTTCACTCTGTGATTGCGCCAGCCTTTCAACCAATCAGATGCAGGAGTAAAACCAACCGCGACTTGTTCACCCTGCTTTTCCGCGCTTTAGGAAGTTTACTTGTTTTTATCTTGAATCTCGTTGGCTCCTTGTGATATTTTAATTTTGTTGCAATTGACTTTTTTGATTTCGTTGGTTTTGGTTTTCGACATTCGAAAAACGCTCTTCGACCCCGTGAGTTAAGAGTCGACTCGCTGGACTTAAAATCAAAAGGCCTGAGTTGGAACCTTGGGGCCCAGCTTCCTGGCCTCTTTTTTGCTTGCGTCATTTACCTTGAAGATCAAGATGTTGGTAGTTTTTAAATTTAAAAAGTTGAAAATATCAGGAAATAAGTAGAATAGACTGATAATTGAGGAACCGTGATACTATTCCTTAGATGTAACTATTAAATTATCAGTGGTGTCAAGTCCACAAGGTAATCGTGTTTTGGTTTGAGCAAAACAGTGCCTTTCTGAACCCACCAAAGTAACTTTTTTGCGGCGAGTTTGCCGCTAGTTCGCGGCCAATTCGCGGCTAGGTCGCGGCTAGTTCCATTCATTATTACAACTGTTGTGGTAATTCGCTATTGGCTGACAAATTATTTAATCAGTTCAATGTCGATAGACATCGAATGATATTTAGAAGAATTTTTCAGAAAATAGTGTTATACAATATTTTTACCTCTTGTTTTGCCTGTCGAAGACAACTTTGATTCACGGAAATCCCTATTTTGAAAATATCTAACTCGAATCCATCAAATTTGTGGAGGAAACCAAACTACAGTAATGTGATCAAGTTTTAATCAAACAGTTTTGGTGTACATCATTCCCTAACCTTTATAACGAAATTCTCATACCTTCCCATTGTATACGGTTTGCATGGAAACCTATCAATGTCTCGCGAAACTGTATTAATTCCCTAGTTTCCTTGGTGACACACGCATCAAAACCTGCGTGAAAAATTCCCTACACTACCCCTACCGAATACGGTTTCCCTAGAAACCCCCACTGCTTCGGAAAACTTCTTCGTCTAACGTGTTTGATTTTGCATAAGGCGATCGCCCGCGATCATTTCTCGTTACACGAAGCAATTGTTTTAAAAATTGGTGAGTTGGCAGTTTTATGTGCTACAAACTTGCCAGCCGAGATAACATGACTGCGCTGTATAACTAAGGAGTAGTTTTTCGGTGTGGGTTGCTTGGATGGATTGGGATATGGGACAATTTCGCCTGCTTTCGGAAAACTTTGGAAGTAAGTATCGACGGTAAAAGTTAGGGCAAAGGCTCTAGAAGATTCGACTTGGGTCCATAGCTATCTGTGGTTTTAATTTTGCTTTCGATATAAATATCTTTATACGTTGCAAGTACGCATTTGCCTATGAAAACTTGCGATCAAACGTCCGCCTTTGGCCGTGAAAACGATATCTTTTCTTTGAATTTCTGAAGTGTTCCTGTAATCCTCTGTATCACTGATAGGAAAACTTTTAAAATTATGTCAAATATAAAATTTACTCGTTTGTCGTATTTCAAAAACCTTTATACTGAAAGCTTGTTAAAGATCGTCGATGGTTAAAGATTCTAGCCATATTCCATAAATTAGCTTGGCATTTCTTCGGCAGAAATTCGGGTAATCAGACCTGGAAATATAATTTTATTTTTTAAAATTTCACCCCTCATAAAGCGCATAGTTGAGCGAAGTAGTGGTCATTAAGGTGAAATATTTGATCTAATTTGCAAGAGATATTGCAAAAAGTTATATTAAACAAAACTTCTTTGTTTCAATCGTACCTTTTGTGTTGAGAAACCACTTTAAGCGACTAAACGTCTTTGTGTATTTGATTTCGAGCGTAATGTCGGTAGCGGTCTTTGGGGCAAAATTGGAAATGACAGGTTAAGGTACTGCAGAAGATATCTTCAATATGACGAAGATTTATTTGAAAACCATAAATTGGAGCTAATACGATTAAAAGCAAACTGTTATGGACTGCTTTTTCTCTAAGAAAATGTGAGTCATGCGGGCGGAGAGAGGCTATTTGAGATTCACAGTATTTTTCATTGGGAAAAAGAACATTATAACGATGCAAGTAGTTTGGCTTTTAACTTTAGAAGTTAACCCTTAGGGTAAGTTGTATCTAATTACTCCTTAAAGTATCACTTTTGAATCACACATCAGGGTTTGGAGAGTAAAACAAATGATCACCAACTGAAGAAGCCCTTGATTGTTAATCAAATTCTCCTTTTCAACATCTTAGTTAATGTATAGAGAACAGTATGGAGAATATGCATACTTATCTTAAGGTGTTAAGGGTCAGGCAGGTTGTAACTTAGGTCACTATGTCTCCTTTGAGTGTTTTCCCAACATTCCGCGCGGGTTATTACGCCGGTAAACCGAGAGCAAGTGCGGTCTCCAGTTTAAACAGAAATCACCAGCACACAATCTAAATGTTTCACATCAATCTGGAAAAAACAGTTTTCAAAAAAATCTCTTGTTCATAGCTGAAGACACAATGCTTAAAGCCAGACTGCAAGAGAGTCAACTTTTTTTTTACCTTTTCTTCAAGCTTCATGTTTAACCTCGTTACTGAGCCTGCGTTCATACGTCCACAAACACAAACCCGAAACAATTTTTTCAATACAGTTTTTACCACTTATTCTCTCTCTCTTTAGGTATCAATGATCCCCAGACCGTTTTCACCTTGGTCGTGGTGTGTATCACAGTTCTGCTTCTCTTAGCTCGAGTATGCTTTGGAATGTTCAAGAAATTTGGACCTCACAAGGTAGTTGTCGGACCGTATTTAGTTGATAGAACGTTGTTGTTGTTGTTGTTGATATTTACGTTTTGTTTTTCTTCTTTTTCTCAGGAATACCTCTCGACAGATGCGGAACTCAATGGAGCTGATGTTTATATTCCTGTAAGTTCCGCTGTTTTTGTTTGTTGGTGTGTGTTTGTGTGTGAGTGTTTTTTTCTTTTGTTTAATGAATGGAAGGCCTCCGTTAAACCGAAAGACTGACGAAGGGTTAACGCCCGAAGCGTCAGCTTTAGAAACTCTCTACGGAGGCCAATTTACATCATCAGCTCAGTTGATAAAACCGAATTATCCAGCAAACAGTTGATAAGAATGGAGAGACTTAATAACCTGATAAAACGCCAAGTTCTCCTGACTAATTTACAAAGAAATTGAAATCACTTAGAAGGGAGATTTTCAAGCCAGACCGTGGAGGTCTGAAGGCTGCTTCAAATCAGGGGGGTCCATGACCGTTGATGTGTCATTGCACTAGCTAAGGAATCAAGTGTTGCGTGACATCATATCATTCACCATGTCCATTGTTGCGTTACAGGAAGCTTATCTTCCGCCAGTCCTTCAAACAACGCGTGAAATGAAGGCCACTGGTAGTGGAAGTGACAACGTTTCTCCTACCCAGCTCACCAGGCGGAAGACCTACGGCGCGACTCAGAATGACCATGTGATCGATACGTCACAACTGACACCCAGTTCGGAAACTGTTGTGACTTTCGATGACGAGGACCGGCACTAAGTCTAAGGTTCTAACCGTTGGGAAACATTTAGATATTTATTTTGTTTGCCTATCTTTCTATATAAGGTAGATCATTTGTGAATTTTTCTTTTTAGTAGAATGGATTCTTCTCCAGTTTGTTGGCTAAGAATTACAACCACTGGATTTTAAATATCACTGGAAACTTTCGCCGGCGTTGAAATGAGCACTCTTTTGGTTGTAACCCGGAAAGTTTCATTTTGCCTGGTGCTTTTGTTAGCCGTGAAATTGTAATGATGAATTTAAGAAATTGGCTTGTTTGAAATGCATGCCGTACCTTAATAAGCGCCTGGAAATATTGATGCTTTCAGTCGTCAATAATTTGAGTTGTATTTTTCTTAATATTTTACAAACAATGTTAACCGTGATCTTTTTTGTTTCAATAATCGTTTTCTTAAGATCAAGTCTTTTGGTCTCAATATTGGAGAAGGTTCTGTGTAAAAGAGTCATGTTAATACTTTGTCTCTGAGAAGCATACTAACAAGATATATAAATGAGTATGAAAAGACTTTGTGGCGGAGAAGAAGTTACTACAGATAGAGGACTGAGGAGCGATGCTTGTCTCAGGTTTTAGGCGCACTTTAGTATTTTTCTTGTAAATTCCTAAAGAACGGTAGCGTTGTTCAAATGCGCCGCATAATTGAACTTTGAGTTAAACTTATTTATTTAAAGTAGGTTAGCAGTATCTACAGAAATGATATTTTTTTAACTTTCTTTAGAGGAAGTTTTAATTGTGTAACGTAATGTTCGTTATTCTCCGTAGATCTTCGGAACTTCTAGTATTGTAAACTCGGAAATTGGGTGTCTAATTCAATGGGTTGTTTAAATTAGTATTGCTATTATACTTATTGACATTTTCATTAGGAAATCAATTTTGAATGATATTTTGTGCAAGAATAAGTCATGTTTAGGCATTTTGATAAACATCTTACAAGCCCGCTTACTTTGGGTCGCTCCTAGAATTGTTTCAAAGTACTT